TAAACTCGGAGACACCAACCGTTAACCATTTTGGTATATATCCTGCTAATTTGTCTTTTATATATATCAATGCATTTATTTATTGGAAAAATGAGATTATCATCTGCAGAGGTTTTAAAAGAATAGCATTTAATATGTCCTGAGTTCAGAAGCAGAAGGAAATGTGAAAAATCAGAAAAGCATAAAGGAGAAAATTTAAGCATTACATACGATGTCACCATCCAGAGCTCCTTCTCCATTTAGTTTATCTGTGAAAACCAATGGTTACTGCCCACCTTCTTTCTTGAAAGGATGATTTCACGTTGGGTGCCCTGTCACTGTTTTCCTGCTGGCGGTTTCTCTGGGGACAGCCTCCAACCTCCCCTTCAACCCTCCGACCTCCCCTTCTTCCACCTTCCCCATGCGGCTCCCCTGGGAGTAGCCAGGCCTTCTGTGAACCTCGGTGTGTTCATCTGTGTGAGTAATTCTTTTTTTTTAAGTTCTCATCAGAGGGGAATACACACACACACACACACACATACATACTAGAGGCCCAGTGCACGAATTCGTGCATGGATGGGGTCCCTCTGGGTGGTTTGCGGGGATCGGGCCCCAGCTCGTGCCCCCAGCCCCACAGCCTCACCTGGCATCCTGCCTTGACCTGGCGCCGCCCCCTCACCTGCTCCACCATCCCGCCTGTGGGGCAGTCGGTTGGGGCCGGGTCCCTCAGCATCTGGGAGCCAGTCGGCAGCCCCGCCCCCTACCACTGCCGGTTGCCATCTGTGGGGCAATCAGCGGGGCAGTTGGGCCCCCGCTTGCACCCGCCTTGGCCTGGCACTGCCTGCTCACCTGCTCCACCATCCTGCCATGGTCCCGCTCTCGTTGGGGCCCATCAGGGCCAGCAGTGCCTACACTGCAGCCCACTGCCAGCACCACGTCGCCAACACCCATGTTCCGCACTGCCCCCTGGTGGTCAGCACACGTCATAGCGAGCGGTCAAACTCCCGGTCAAGGGGACAATTTGCATATTAGGCTTTTATTATATAGGATATATATATATATATATATATACCAATATGTATATTGGTATATATATTTCCCATACTCACCCTGACCGGGGGTTGAACCATGGGATTCATTCTTAGACGTGGCAATGCTTAAAGGGGCGCGTGTGCTTTTGTTGGATAAGGATGGCCAAACTGCCTTGTAGAAGGATCACAGCAATCTGCACGCCCACCCGCAGCCCCCAGAGGCCAGTTTCCCCATAGACTCACCAGCAGTGTTGTCCCACTTTGGCCTCTGAGACCCCACATGGGCTGAGTGTGCACGGGGTGAGTGCTATCTCATTAACACCCGCGGATTCTCACAATTGCCCAGAGGGGAGTAGAGTTACCTTCATTTTACAGACAAGGAAACAAGTCTGGAGAGCTTAGCCTGACTCAGTTCACGGAGCTGAACTGAACCCAACTCCAGCACCCACCCCACATCCCCCCGGCGGTTCTCAATCGCCGATGTGTCAGAGCCACTCGGAGAGCCTGAAAGCTGGCTGGGCCCCGCCCTCAGAGTTCTGACTCAGCTGGTGTGGAAAGGGCCCGAGACCCTGCATTCCTAGTCCTGGGGGTGCTGTCGCTGCTGGTCTGGGATCACGCTTTGAAAGCCATTGCTCCTAACTATATCTAACGGGGACCCTACTAGGCCTCACTGACCTAACTTTAACTTTGAACTCTGTGTGACCCACTAACCTTTCCTGTGTGTGTGTGACAGAATTGACCTCTCATAGTCCTCGGACTGTCCAAGTTAGGTAACAGCAGCAACACACCACTTTGCATCATGAAATGATCTACCAGAGCTGGTTGTAGGTATTCCTGCTGCTGGAGGGGCTGGGAGTCCAGTGGGAAGCCCTGGGGCTGGACAGGTGTGGACCCCGATGGTGGCCGGGCCACCGTGCAGCCCGACACAAGTCAGCCCACTCACCTGAGCTCAGTGCCTTCTCTCTCCGAGGGGGGATGTCATGGACTCTCTGCCCCAGACGCCTCGTGGCAGCGGTTCTAGGAACAGAGGGCCGGCTCCGGGCAGTGGCTGTGACTGGCTGCTCACAGCCGTCGCCCCTGAGACTCCCAGGGGTCATGCTCAATTCCAGCTCTGTTCCCAGAAAAGGCCCACATTCCGTGGTCCTTCCACATCCTAGCGATGACCCTTCCGTGGCACAAAACTGATTTTGTCCGTGTTGGGACATTGGAAACTGAGGACACTTGTTCCGATTCCGAGAAAGAGCCCAGGTTGAACCAGTGACCACAGGGACCGGGGCTGCTGCCAGCTGCTCTCTGTGCTGGGGGCGCGGCAGGGCAAACAGAGGCCTGTGCCCTCGCCGCTTGTGGTGCTGGCCCTGAGGGTCAGTGTTGAACCGTGCTTTCTTGGAACCTGGCAAGGGAGGGGTAAATGAGCTCAGATCTTGGGAGCACCAGGGATGGGCTGTGTAACCAGAACTTCCTGGCTCAGGCCTGGGGGTGGGGCCCCAGGACACGCGCTTCTCACAAGTTTGGGGGCGGCTGGTCGAGGACCACACTTTGAGTATCGGGGTCTAAGTGTTATTTTGTATCAGCGATTTCGGCCTGTGTGCCCCAAAATTTTTAAAACGTGCAGTAACACCTGACTGTGTAGTCAGGGGCACTGCCCTCTCTTCCTTAGAATGTCAAATAAAAAAATGACAACAGCCAACACAATAGCCATCCAGTGTGAATGAATCAAAATTATACCTATTTTTTTCTCAGATTGGCAAAAATATATAACCTTTTTTGGCAGGCCACAGAACTTCAGTAATTAGTTTATGTGCGCCGAGAGATGAAAAAGGTTGAAAATCGCTGCCTTGTGTCCATCAGCACCGCCAAACGCAAGCTGATTTTTCTTCAGCTTTCAGTGAAACCCTGAAAACACAAAGGAAAAACTCCTTTCGTTAGCGGGTTCCGAGTGGTGATATTTCTGGACAGGGCTGCCAACATCTCAGGTTGGGAGTGAGGTCTCGGCTCCGCGCTGGTCCTCCAGGGGGCGGCCTGGAGCAGCCCCTGTGGCCCAGCCTTGCGTCGTGAGCGCTTAGCTGGCCTGCGTCTCACGTAGGCAAAACCTTAATTGTCAGACAATTTGGAAAGATGGAGCCAAGCATCTCCATCTATCCGTTTCAATCTGATGTTTAGGAGGTTGGGGTGAGCTCTGGGAGGTTGCCAGGGTTCTGGCGTCTTACCCTGACGGTGACAAGCCAGCACTTGGAACCATGTCCAGTGTCTCTAGAGCAGTGGTTCTCAACCTTCTGGCCCTTTAAATACAGTTCCTCATGTTGTGACCCAACCATAAAATTATTGTCGTTGCTACTTCATAACTGTAATGTTGCTACTGTTATGAATCATAATGTAAATATCTGATATGCAGGATGGTCTTAGGCGACCCCTGTGAAAGGGTCGTTCGACCGCCAAAGGGGTCGTGACCCACAGGTTGAGAACCGCTGCTCTAGAGCAAGTCAATGTCTGATGGGCACCACGTATTTAGACGTTTGCCGTACGCCGGGCAATACACAAACGCTGCGCAGGGACTCTCTCGTTCATCTCTACGACTCCATGAGGTAGAGGCACCAATTTTCTCCAAACAAACAGAACCGAAGGTCAGCAGCCCAAGTGCATGTAAGTGAGTAACCCAGACCGTCCGGCTCTGACCCTGAGACCCGAGCGCTTGGATATTTTAAATGACTGACGTGATGAACAGGGTTGTAGTAGCAAGACACGCAGAGACGCGAGGGGTGAAATGCTTTCTCATCATCCCTTAGTCTGTTAATGAGGCTCCCGGTCTTGGGTTGCTTGCATTTTCTCTGTAAACTATGGCAAATGCTAGTTCCCCATCAGAATCTGACAACCGACCCGGAAGCAGATTTTCCTGCCCGCGTGCCATGGTGCTAGTTGCGTGTAAGCAGAATCGCCCGTCCCGGCTCATCATTCACACGCCTGGAGTCACGTAGTGTGGGGGTCAGCAAGGTGGAAGGCTGGTGGCCACAACTAGAAATATATTTCCCGCTAAAGGCATAAAACAGAAATATCTCTCCACTGGGAGATAGTGATGGCACCCCAGGCAGTAAGTCTGAATGGAAGGTACCATCTGCAGATGCTTTACGTACAAATAAAAGAGAGGATTTGCTTTCATTCTGAGTTTATTTAACATTTCATCCAGCTGAACTGGAACAGTACATTGATCCCCACACTGGCAAGACACTGCGCTAACACTGAACAGCCGCCGCCCGCGCTCGGCCACTCCCGCCTGGGGTCCGGCGCCTTTCCCAGCCATTGCACTTCCTGGGAGCGGTCCTCCAGGTCGCTGGGATGTTCCTTTTTATAAACCACGGTGACGCTGACAGGAAATAAAAGCGCCAGGAGCCGGAGCTCCTGTGATCATGTTAAGTAGATACAGCTCCACAGTTGCTATCCCTTTCATGACGGCGCCTAAAAATGGCAGTTTATTCACCTTCTGCTCAGCCATTGCTTTTTCAGCAAAGGTGAGGATGCTGCGGGGGCTCCCAGTGAGGGGGTGAGCATTCTGGGGTAGCTGGGCGTGGGAGGGCCTCCCGGGCTGGGCTCTCGGTAGGAGCACCCTGCAAGCACCTCAGGGAGACCGCCTTGAATTTCAGGCTTTGACCACTTCTTCAAGAGCAGCATCTACGGCAACAAAACACACGCAAGGCCAGCATGTGTTGTGGGAACCTCTTTTGCTTCAAAGGGTTTAAGACGGAAAAATGGAGAACATTTTGGAGGCATAAAGGGAGGCTCCGAGTGGCCCATCCACCCCTCGGAGAAGAGGAACGCACACGAGGCCCACCCTGTTTCCGGATGGGGAACTCAGCCGTCTCATTGCCAGGAGGAGATCTGCCAGCACTGTTGTACGTTTCTCTACCTACACGTCTCTGAATCACAGTGGAATCAATACCCGCAAGGGCACGCCGCCTTGCCTACACCTGTGAACACGGACAGACCGGAAACACAGTCTCTATTGCATGAACTATATTAAATGTGAAACTACTACAGGGATGTAAACAGTGGTCCATGGAGCCTTATTTTCAATCAGGGCGGATGCAGTACACAACCTTCAAGTAAAATCATTTAGCCACCGATTCACACACATGATGTCCGAATCTTCCCGAAAGCCAATGAGATCAGCAAGGACGAGACAAGACCCGTAGGGGCTGGACCTGCGCTCACTCCTGAAATCTGCCAGGCGAACCCGAACGTCCCGGCACGCTGCACCAGGACCGGACACGCTGCCTACACTGACGTGTGCGCATGGCAGTTATCTGAGTGTTTGATGTAATTGAATATCAAGCCAACAGGTATAACGTTTTCGTAAGAACGTAAAACAGAAGCATTTAAGGTTCGACCAGAGACGTCAGCAGCAGGGAGTGCCCAGCTCCTGAGAGCAGGACGCCGCGCCACGCGTGTCCGTTCCGTGACGCAGGGTTTACCCTACGCGCTGTGTTTTATAGTTTAGCATCAGAGCTGTGTGCTTTCCAAATCACTGCCTCCATGGCCTTGCTCTGAAACAAGAGTGGGAGGACAATTCAGTATTTTACCTGATTTCCTTTGCACTGACTGATAATCAATTTCTTGAGCATCTACTCTGTGCCTAGCAGCGCTTTTAAAAACTCGAGGTGAGGGCTGGACTGTTGTCTTTGAGGAAACAATTACCATAAAAGCTACAGGAAAGCCATTTCTGTTCATTATCCCCTGACTCAGGTGTGAGAGGGCGATGGGGTGCCTGGCCCACCCGGCGCCGTGCTGGACAGAGAGCCGACTCTACAGGCTGACGTGGGTCGTGGAGAAGGTCTGTGCCCGGAGAAGCCAGGCGGAGGCCTCCCTCCCTCGCTGGCGCACCAGGTCCGAGCGGGCGGGGCTGGGCGGGCGTCCTCCCCCTTCACAGTCCCTTGTTGAAGTACACGCGGCGGAGCTCAGGGTGGCTCTCTCGCAGCTTGGCTTGCAGCTCAGCCTCCAGGCTGGTCACGGACATGGAACTGGGGGAGGGAGAAAGGACAGTGGTTACAGGGGCCGAGGTGGGCTGGGATGTCCTGCTCTGTCCGGGGGCCGTGGCTTCCACACGGGTGACTTCTCTGCTTAAGAATGGCGGGTCACGGACAGAGGATGGGCCGGTGAATGGTGGCGTTCTCTGTCCGGCGGAGGCACCTGAGAAAGGTCATCTGGAACAGCGCCCCATCCAGAGCCTCCTCCGCACGCCTAGGGCTGCCTAGGGCGTGACAGACCTGGAGCCAGGACCTGGCCCAGCAGGCACAGCCCCAGGGCAGAGGCCGGCAGCCCTCACACCCCATCCACACAGCAGAACCCGCTCCACACCCAGTGCCAGGTCAGGAGGCAGCGGGAGACTTAGATCTAGACGCAGCCCCACTAACGCCCTGTCAATCCAGTGCTCACACCCACAGCAGCCTGGGACAGAAGCGCACGAGAAGGCTTTAACCTAGAGTGCCGGGAGTGCTACCGCGCTCCTCCTGCAGTGTCACTAGTAGATGCTAGTAGTTCACTCTTTATTGACAGATGGCACCTAAGTGCAGATTACTTACGATGCCGAATGTTTGTAGTTCTAAAATTGACCACTGGCATTTATCTGCCTAATTGTAATAATTTTTTTCCTAAACTGCTGTAAAATCAGCAAAAATGCCTTGGCAATTTTAGCATAGTTTCTAGAAAATTGGTCGGCACTCAAAGGGTTAAAGCAGCGGTTCTCAACCTGTGGGTCGCGACCCCTTTGGCGGTCGAACGACCCTTTCACAGGGGTCGCCTAAGACCATCCTGCATATCAGATATTTACATTACGATTCATAACAGTAGCAACATTACAGTTATGAAGTAGCAACGAAAATAATTTTATGGTTGGGTCACAACATGAGGAACTGTATTTAAAGGGCCAGAAGGTTGAGAACCACTGCAAAGGCAGAAAACAAGCAGGAAGAAGGGAAGCAAAATACCGACCCCGGAGCTAAGGGCGTGTAATTGCTGTTCCCGGGGGTGCGACTGACATTCCCAGGCGTCTGTACAGACGCACGTGCCCACGGACGGGATGGCACGGGCCACATTGACATTTTCATAAAAGCCAATCTGCACCGGAGTTCACCTCTTACAAAAGAAGGAGCATTTTCAGGTGGCGAGGGAGCAGGTAGAGAGAGTTTAGAAATTAAGCAGATGTGCGTCTGATTCCTGCCTCCAGCTGTTCCTTTTAGAGACCTTGGCTTCCTTCATCTGTGTGAGCCTCAACTTTCCTACCAGTGAAACGGAACAATAGCCCCTGTGACGTGAAGTAACACTTGTAACTCAGGGTGGGTCTGGTTTGTCGGATGAAAACGCATGATCGTCCCAAAGAATAACAAACACATACCTTTTCTGAGGAAAGAGGGCACAGCACAGAGGCGTAGCAAATACCAAACTAAAAAAAAAAAGGCAAATCAGCGCACTGGGAAATAGTCGACTTCTCAGGTTCTTTGTCTAGTTTACTTTTCCAACAATCCCCTTCCTCTCTTTTGAGCCTCAAAAACCATGTTCCGTTTGTATCATGTTATTACCCCAATGATTGCCAAAATAATTTTTAAAAAATCAGAGATAACAGGAGTTTAAGAAAGAATCATGCAACAGTCCCAAATGTTGAAAGCTTCCCTAGAGACAGTTTACTTCCGGCTCATTGTCGGGACCGTACGTCCCAGCTGTTCTGGGATGTCCTCATTTTCTAAACTGGTCCCACATCACCTCCCTCTCCTCCCTTTCCATGTGCTGCACACGTGTCTTGAAAAGAGAAATGAATGATCTCGAAGGGATTCTACTCACCAGAAGCCAACCAGTCCAACCTGAATGGGCGCACTCATCCACGGGAACCTCTGTGACGAGAAAGACATTATTTTGAAGACTTTCCATACAGGCTCTTAGCGACCATTTCTTCTGCCGACGGACTGGAAGGAGCCCCCGTTACAGGTCCAGGTGGACTGTGATTCGTGTAACGGGGGGACACTGCAACACGCGTGCTAGTCCTGACTTCCCGCGGCCCCCTCGCCCCCGACCTGTCAGTACACGTACGTGTGGAGACCACGGCTTCTCGTTCTCCCCTTGCACATGTGATCTGAATGGTGCTTGGGGGGTCCAGGTCGCTGTTGTTTATTACCATCCACCTCCTGGCTGGGAGGCAGGCAGCTCCTCCCACAGGGCTGCCCTAACAGCTGGCTCCATCGCCCGACCCACCGAGCTTCGGGTCCTTGCCCGCTTCCTAACGCACGTGGTAACGTTCATCAACCACCGAGGCCAGGGCCTGGGACGGAGCAGAAGCCCCGCAAGCACCCCCTCATCCCCGCGTCTCCCCTCTCTTGGCCTTCTCTCTGTCAGTATGGTTAACGCTATGGCTGGCGTCAGACATTTTGCCTGTCGCTTTTTAAAAATGGAAACGAGTGAGTTGGTCAGTCTTCTGGAGAGTAAGTACTGTTAGATTTGTAGTTTGCAAAAGTGGTATCAAAATGCACACTATAAAGAGCGATGAGTAGATGGTCCCGTAACTAAGGCCACAGAAATAGCTGCGACCAAGTTGTGAACTGGTTGTCATGACATCAGCCAACGAGTTAAGAGGCAACACTAGTGGTTAGAGATGGTGACCCCAGAGCTCGTGTGCGAGGCGTACCCTGGTCCCCGAAGACTCCTCCGGTGAAAGAGGACATCGCACAGGTTAACGTGAGGGAGGGAGGAGTGGACTAGAGAGGAAGGGAGAGAGGTGGTCAAGACGAGACAGATCCCAGAACCCCCCCTCAGGACAGCCAGGGAAGGAAGCGCTGGATCTCGCAGTCTCAGGTGTTGACATGGGATGTGCGATGAGTGTCATGGTGGCTCTCTAGGTCCCTTCATTCCTTGGCGCATCCCCAGGAGGAACCCACAGTCCCTGGTCCCACCAGGACCCTTTCCTCACACGGGGTTGGTGTGTCCAGGTGACAACCTGGGTGTGTCAGTCAAATGAGGGCAGCGCATAGATTAACGAATTGTTATGCTCCCCAAAGAAAAATAAACCGGGCAATTCACTGTTCCGTGACGCTGCCTCCAAATCCGTTTTCCGTTTCTGACAGTGAGAGGCGTGGCAGCAGTTTTCCTTCGTGGGAGCTTTGTCAAATATCTGAGATTGGACATAAAATGTTCCTGGAACCATCTTTCATCTACATAAGTGCCCGAGTGCCACTGGCCTTCGAATGCTTGGCTCGGGGTTTAGGTAGGAAGAGTCGGTGCGTGTGAGGGCTGGATGGGAAACGGAAGGACTCACCTTCAGAAAGGCCTTCTTCTCCAGGGTGTTCATGATGAACGGGGGGATGGCTGCAAGGAAAGGAGACCGGCGGAACGCGTTAGCTCGTGTCTACTTTCAGCTCACATTGCCCCCGACAAGTTGACAAAAGGCTTATGTCACTTTTAAGCCTTTTCCCACGGCAGAGTGAAGCCATCTGCAATAATTCTTTCAGATACTTTAGGATTGGGGGAAAATCAGTGTTCCCGTTTTCTAGAATTTTGAAAAAGAATGTAACGCTCTTTTCCAGCCAGAAAGCTCTATAATCGTGAGGAGAACTTTACATTTAACTTTAAGTATGAACAGTGCCAACGTCAGGAATGTCTGCCTCCTGCACCCATAAAACAAATGCACCCCGATGGGGGTGGGGCAGCCCTGCGGAGCAGAGAATAAAGACTCCGCCTTGAGCCAGGCACACGCCCTGTGGGTGGCCCTGAGCCTCAGCTTCAGGTTTTCTCACCTTGAAGGAGCCGACGGCAGGGGAGGGATGTGTTTGGTTCACTGATGCACAAACATGTGTTCAATCTGTGTTTGTGGAGTGGATGGGGGATGGGTGGGTGGATGGATGGGTGTGTGGGTGGGTGGGTGGGTGACAGTCATACTCACCCATGCCGGGCGCGGCCATGAGAATCCTGGAGACGACCACTTGTGCAATGGCTTGTTGTGCAGCCTGTGCCGACTCACCCAAGCGGGTCCCGTTTTCGTCGGTGACGGGAATGCCGACTTTGAGTTCCCTGCAGAGCAAAACGCATGCCAGGTGTTCACAGGTGCTTCATGAAACCGCCGAAGTTCAAGTCCCCACGTAATCCAGTCACCCACCCAAGAGTCATTTTGGCACAAACAAGTCTCTTTTTACATCCTATGAAAAGGTTTAATCCTCGTGCAACAGGCACAAAAGTAAAATAACACAGTAACTTTGTAATAAAAAAAGGAGTCGCAATTTTAACGAAAATACGCCTCACTGGGTGACTATGCTAACTGAAGAGTAAGGGTGATTTTTATGCTGATGTGCAAGTTAGAGCGACTTTCCAAATGAGAGGTAGACCTTGACACGTGGCCGCGCTGAGGGACCCGAGGAGGACTCAGGAGTCACCAGCAGATGGTGCTAAGGGGTATTTGTAACAAGTCAGTGACAAAGCGACAGTTCCTTACAGCTCCTGCCCCTACCCTGTTCCTCATTATCCATTCCAAAACGTTTTTTCTTGTTCTTTCTTCTCTAAATTGTAAAAAACAAAAACAAAAACAAAAAACAAAAACCTTCCAAAGATATAGATTAATATTATTTTAAATTCCAAAAGGAAATTCTGGGGGAAAAGAAGGACCTGTTGAGAGAACAAACTTCTTTGTGTAGACCTGCTCTGCCCCGCCTGGCACAACTAGATCTCAGTGTGAGGTGTGCTTCTAGCCTCTGTGATACGGAAGCAGAAAGGGTATTCTAGCTCCTGCACTCAGCCTGTCCCAGGAATTAGCAGCTCAGCGGCTAAGCCTGTCCATCAGGGGACCCATCCTCACTTCCAACTCCAGATTATTTTGACACAAATCCCCAATCTCATACGATTCTAGCTGTAAATGTTAAAATAATTTTAAAAGTTTCAACGAAGTGAATTCTTATAAGAATCTTATTACTACAGTAGGTCCTTGGGTTACGTCGGAGATCCGTTCCTACGGCGACGTAATGCGATTTTCGCCGTAAGTGGGAACCCACCTACATAAGCACCTACGTCACTCACAGGGAGCACATACACAGCAGCAATGAAGTGAAACAGTAAAAAAATTTAAAAGAAAGATAACAATACCTGATCTTTACTTGTGGTAAATAAATAATAAAAAACATAAAGCACATATGTACATACATCGAAATGACGGAACTTTTTTTTTATGAATAAATGGGAGATGGCGACGTAACCACGAAACGACGTACGTCGAGTCCGACGTAATCCGAGGACTGTCTGTACTGTAAGCACAGCCATTTCTAGAAATGCCCATGACTAACCTTTGCCGCATCAGTGGGATATTGATGCAATTCGCAGCAGCTACGGCGGCAAAGGGCACGAAGCGTCCTATGAGTGGTGACACGTGCTGCAGAGGAGAAATCCGAAAGCATGATCTCACTTTTCCTGGATTCCTGGGTGGCAATGCTTATTGCTTCCTGAAAACTGCTGAAAATGCAGAGTCCTGTGTATAGAAACTCAGGCCAGGAGTCCTTTCTCCACCCGTTACCTAGCGGTATTTGTATATCTCTAGCGGGGTGTATGCGACTTCTCACACATTTTGGCAGCTTAGTGTGGAGGGGCATTGAGTCCCAAACTCTTGGGGTCAGGTGTCGGCTCGCCCCCTCTTCAGAGGTGTGGCCTGAGGCCCGCTGCCCGCTCAGCCGCTGGTGGGCCGTTCTGGTGGGTGAGCACGTAACCTAGCACTATGTCAGGCACAGACCAGCGTCTTGGCTGTGGGGGACACCCCTGCCCAAGGAAGCTGTAATTAAAACATGCAGTTGCACCCAAGCTGGTCTGACTCAGTGGATAGAGCGTCGGCCTTAGGACCGAAGGGTCCCGGGTTCGATTCTGGTCAAGGACATATGCCCGGGTTGTGGGCTCCATCCCCAGTGGGGAGTGTGCAGGAGACAGCCGGTCAATGATTCTCTCTCATCATTGATGTTTCTATCTCTCTCTCTCCCTCTCCCTTCCTCTGAAATCAATAAAAATATTTTTTAAAAACACACACACACAAAAAAAATAAGCAGTCGAAGAGAATGACCATAATAAGAAAGTCTTAGGACTTGAACTATTTTGAGAAACAGTGGAGTGCCGGGAGTCAGGTGGTGAGAAGCAGTTACGAGCTTGCCCATGGAATAGAGATCCGCGCACCTTGGTCAGTGCGTTGAGTCCTAGCGCGGTCGCCACGGCGCCAGTTGTCGCAGACACGTAAGCCGTTCCCAGCTCACTGAGAAGAAAAAACAGCACACACAACGGGTGACCGTCGGGAAACTGGTCCTTTGTTTAAGGAAATGATGGGGGACTGTGCAAGGGCATAAGAGCGGAGAGTCCAGAAAACAGCGTCAGCATCACCTGCAGGTGGGGTAACCTGGAGAAAGGGCAAGTAACCCACAAAGAGTGCGATTCCTCACAGGGACCTGACACAACCCCAAACTCGGACACGGATGGAGAAGGGGCCCGTGAGCACGCAGGACACGGCAGGTGTGGGAGATGCACAGCGGCCTACATGTCTCGGCACATCCACTACACTAACATAAAATGACTTCCAAATGTGGATGCGCATGCTGAGAGCCGACGTGCAATGCTGTTCTTCCTAAAATGGCATCTTAGTGTATAAGATTTCAAAAAGTCTCATGTCTGAAATACAGTTAAGCCCAAGCAGTTCTGTCCTGTTTAGAAATACGTTTTAGCTCACGGACTGGATGCGAGGCGCTGTGACAGTCACTGCTGGTTACCCACGATGACAGAAGAACGCAGACTGTCAAAGCAATTGGAGCGATAAGACAACACACTGGCGTGTGGGAGGAGCCAAGCTAAAAGTTCTGCCTGACGGATCCCTCTGGCCCGTCTAACACTTCCTCAGGGGGGCACAACTCAAACCCATTCCCTTCCTTTCTGGCTCCATCGAGGACCGATGTGTAAGACCATCAAGTGTAAAAGCCCCCTGACCTCTGCAGAGGTCAGTCACACCATGGACGCCGCTGCTTTTGGCGCCGGCAGTCTGTCCACGCGCACAGGGTAGACGGGGTGCAGCGTGTGGTTCACGCCAGGCCAGCCTGAGCTGCCGTGTGTTCTGGGGGAGCAGAGCCTGAGGGTGAGGGGGACCTGTCTTCCTACAGCGCCGCCAATGGCACAAGTAACGTCTGAGAATCAGGCCAGATGAACAAATATCTTGACAGAACAGGAGGGAAAGGGCCACTGATGAGAATATCTTCCATAACAGACTTTTTAATCGGGAGAGCGTCACCGCCCCATCGGGTGGACACGGGGAGGGGCAGCAGGGCCTTACCTGACAGTGAGGGGGGCGTCTCCGCTCCTGTTGGTGTAGTTGACCACGGCATTGAAGGACTGGTTGATCCACTGCCAGAACAGCACCGCCGGCGTGGTCCTGAAACAGAGCGAGCGTCACGCCGCCAGCATTGCCTGCGGCCTCACCGTTTGTGGGACAGAAAACTCGAGCCCCAGTGACGGGAGGATGCTGGGCGTAGGGCCTGGTGGCTGGGCGTAGGGCCTGGTGGCTGGGCGTAAGGCCTGGTGGCGGGCGTAGGGCCTGGTGGCTGGACAGACTTCATCAACCCTCCTTTCAGTTTCCTCACTCGTTAGAGACGGTGACACCGAGGTCAGGGGGTCGTGGCAAAGACGGCGCTAACTCACACCTTCTCTGACATGTGTGGAGAGCCTGGCACAGTGGGCGCTCGGTCACTGTCAGGCTCTCTCCTGGGAGAAGAAGAAGCCGTTTGTAGGCTAAGTGGTCCTGACCCCTCCCACCTGCACCTCCGCCTCCATCTCCACACCTGCACCGACATGAATGGAGGAAAAGGAACTGTATTAAAGGGTCTGCATGGACACTCTTTACTTTCCTCCTCCACCGCATTTTCCTGTGGGTCTGAGCTTTAGGGGAAAAGCTCAGCCTCCCTTTGAGCAGCAGAGAGAATACCATGCAGCAGAGGGAAAAGGCACTGCAGAGGCCTGGAGCTGCATCTGTACAGAGTGGGACCCGGCAGGGAATCATTTATTTCAATAACATCATTTACACCAAAACCTACTGGAAGCTGCTGCAATACGAAGGGAACTGTCACCGAGCCACAACTCACCTGTAAAATGTCATCATACAGCCCGTGATGGTCATGTTCATGGGAACCTGTGCTGACATTCGTCCTATCAAAACCATCTTCTCGCCGGTGTCGGGGTGAAAAGCTGAGTCATAGATGTACTTTGCTCTCCACAGTTCATTTTCAGTGAGACCTGGAGGGACAACTCCTTGTCTAGGAAACAACAAACAACACACGGCTGCTCATTCCAAATGCCGCACCCGCGGTCTCGGGACAGGCAGCGAGGAGGCGCTCAGGGTTACACTTCCCTCCTGGACGGAGCGACAAGTCCATTACCGACTCGGTGAAACTTCACCAGCAGAAGGACAGTAACACTTCACAGGAACATTTCAACCCACACATCTCACATCATCTATCATTTGGAAAAACCAAAACAGACCTGATATAATAGGGAAGTAGTCGACTTTGAAATATTCTTTGTTTTAAATGACATATTTAAACATGTATTTTGAACTCTGCAAACTCTAAAATATTTTTTAGACAACTGGGCAAAAGCTGTGGCAATCAAGAACATTAGTTCATTTTTATATCTATAGTTTGAAAACCTAGACTAGGCAGGCTCACTATTTTTTTCTCTTTACCAGAGAAACACATATGCATTGCTAGAAATTTAGGGAATACAGAAACTCATTGCAGCGATTAAACCATGGAAGCCTTCACCTGCTCGGCACCCTGGTGATGAGTTAGTGACCACACTGTCCATCCTCCCTAAGACCTCTATGCGCGTGTTTATTTAAAGGCGTCACACTAGACCTGCTGCTCTATAACCACCTTTCTTATCAGTAAGATTTAGTAAGCGTTTCTCTGCATCTTCAGATATTCTCTGTACCATCCATCCTGGGTGGAATCCTCCCCCGCAAAGCACGTCTACCTGGAACCCCAGGATGTGACTTCATTTGGAAACAGGGCCCTTGCAGACGCCACTCGTGAGGATGAGGGGCCCGCACAGGACAGCCACGTGCAGTGGCACAGACAAGGCCGTGGCTGCCAGAGGCGGAGGTCTCGCCATGTGGCCACCAGCCAGGGGGCACCCAGAGCCACCGAAAGCTCGAGGGAGGAGGGAGGACTCTCCCTGGAGCCTCAGACGGGCACAGGCCTGCCCTCCTCTTGGTTTCAGAGGCCACATCTCTGGCACAGGGAGGGGATGTGTTCCTGTTGTTTTAAGCCACTCAGTCTGGGGTTCTCTGTTCCGTCAGCCTCAGGACCTAGTCCATCATCCTCTTAAAGCGGACTGTGAAATAGCGTATTCTATCGGCCCCTACGCTGACACTGTCATCGCTTTTCATTTTTCCATTCGTAAAGGACCAGGAAGTAAATACCCTCATAAATAAATCTATCCCCGCTTCTAAGACCGTGGGGAAAGAAATGAGCGCATCTGCTGAGATAAACGCGAGGTAAAAGATTAGAACGTGAAGTGTCTTCTCTCCTTCCCTCTCCTTTATCATCAGCGTCAGTATTGATTAGGTCAGCGGTTCTCAACCTGTGGGTCGCGACCCCTTTGGGGGTCGAACGACCCTTTCACAGGGGTCGCCTAAGACCATCAGAAAACACATATATAATTACATATTGTTTTTGTGATTAATCACTATGCTTTGATTATGTTCAATTTGTAACAGTGAAATTGGGGGTCACCACAACAAACAAGGAACTGTATTAAAGGGTCGCGGCATTAGGAAGGTTGAGAACCACTGGCTTAGGTAGCTGTATGCAAACTTTATCTAGGGCGGGGAGCCTTTTCTCTGCCAAGGACAATTTGGGTATTTATAACATCATCCTTGGGCCATTTCTCTGCCAAGGGCCATTTGGGTATTCATAACATCATCCTCAGACCATACATAATTATCAACTTAAAAACTAGCCGGCTGTATTTGGTCAAACATTTAATTACCTCGCCCCTAATGCCTGGGCATGGCCTGAGCCTTATACGCCCCCAGGCCAGACATTCCCCACCCCTGCTTTGTAGACTGAGGCTAATCCAGCACCTGTGTTATCTGCTGTCCTGAGGGTTTTCATTGTTATGTAGTCCTAGAAGGCCTGGCCCACTTGAAGGTTATGCAGATGTTCATTATACTTTATCTCAGAAGCAACCAGCCTCCCTAATTCTGGGCAATCTGCCTGTTGTATGAAGCTGTCCCCACTGGAGGCAGAAGGAGGCCTGGGTGGCTGTAGATGCAGAGAAGGGCAGGGCACTGTGAAAGGGGACTTCACAGACTGGTACCTGGGAGTTGGAGGGACGGCTCTTATTTTGGGGCACTTATTTTGGGGCACTATGACTCCTGGACATACGTGTTAAGGGTCAGCAATGGGGAATAAAACATGTCTTCCTAGTTCTATTTTTTTTTTAATAAAAAGGATTCCACTGCAAACACACACACACACACACACACACACACGTAAAGTTGCTAAGTGAAGGTTTAAAGGGAACAGGCTAACATGATGACCATTAACATACTCCGCCCGAAGCGCACTCACGGTTTTCCGGGCGTCCTCCAGCTGTTGGTTGGTTAGCAGGAGGTTCCGGGGGTCCGTCACCGTGAAGAAATGACTGGCTCGTCCCACAAAAGTGCTTTGGTCCCATCGAGGCTCTTGGATGTTGATGTTTGGTGGGAGTTCTCCAGACATGGTTGTGGACTGGGAGGGACAGAGAGACAAGTCCAGTGAAGCCTGACCAGGTCCAGACACTTCAGAAACGTATCAAGTAACGATGCGGGTGTGTTCCTCCTTCCCCAAATATCCTGCTGTTAGTAGCAGAGATAACCTAAACCCAAAGCTAACTTTGTCCACGAATCTCAACCCAATTTCCATGACTTCCACATGTGCCTTTTTATAAGTCCGTGGTATTTCGCCATGCCTTATTTTGGGGAACCCAGAAATACTCTAGAGAAACTGGAAATAGAAAAAGTTAAAAATAAAACCAGTAGTAGCACGGCCTCCTGTTTGAAAGCCTTCTTCTGGGAGAAGCAATCAGCATCAAATACTGCTGCGTTTTGAGCTGCCTTTGTTGTTTCTACAGTCCTACAGTCCGAGGGACTGAGTCAGTCGGAGGGGAGAGACCCAGTCGTCCTGGTGGGAAGGAGGGGAGAGACCCAGTCGTCCTGGTGGGAAGGAGGGAAGTCTCCGGGGCAGTGGGGGGGGATATAGTTTCCCTGCAGGCTGTTTACCCAGAAGGAGCCCAGCATCCAGGCCTCGAGGGCGGGCAACCTGCTGCTCCCCCTCCCCCAGGAAGTTTGAAATGAGAGAGGTGTCCTGAAGCACCTTGTGGTCCTGACAGTATTTCACGATAGTGAACGGTGACGGTTGTTAAATGACCACTGACCTGAGTAGATGAAGACCTAGGTGGCTATTGAACGGTTGGGGAACAGGGCAGCAGCCTCTAGCAAGCAGAGGAGCCCTGGGAGCTGTCCAAAGTGGGAGGCCTTATGGGCAGCAGGGGGAGGGGATCGGAAAGGAAGGATGAACTCGTCTTCCCTGCGGGCTAGAAAGGGAGCGACTGGGCAGATGACCTCGTGACCTCATAGGTGCTGACCAGGAAATTCCAGACCCACCAGTTAGGATTCCATCCCTGGGGAGGGTCCAGACGGCAACTAGGTCAGGTATGAAGTTCTGGTTTGGTGTCGTGGGCTTAGCCCAAGTGGTTCCATTCTGGGGCCTGTGGCTTCCTTCCCAGTTTTACAACAGGCGCTTCTCAACGAGGAACTTCCCGGGGTCCACCGGGGAGTCATTCTGTTACACAGCCTCGTGGGATGCTGGGGACAGCAGGCGTGGCCAGGGTCAGGGACAGTGCCCTTACCCACGGGATGGGCTGCACAGGGCACCCAAGAATGTGTTCCAGGATGAGGTCGCTCACTTTATCAGTGGGGTGGAGGGGGGGCATCTTTCTGCCACATTTCCCTGAGGCTCTGCAGGGGTAGGAATCAGCTTCGGAAATTCAGAGCAGCCGTGAAAGAGGCAGGATGTCGGCCCCGCACAGCACAGGTGGCTGAGAGAAGCCCCCCTCCCGGCCCCAGCCCTGACGAGAGGAGCCCACTGGCCGGTCACCAGTGGGTGAGGACCTGCAGGAGTCAACAGAAAAGTGTTGTGCTGTACACATCACACGGGCAGCTTCCTGATTTCCAGCAGGGTCAGTGTTCACGTCTGAAGGAGCGATGGAAGGGGGTGCGAGGAGCGGGAGCGGCTGTGAGGCTCCAGAACAGAGACTTAGAGGGCAGTGGCTGGTGGGAGGAGGGCTCCTTGATGCGGAAATACAGGCGTCCCTCCTCTCACGGTGCATCAGCGGGTTTTTTTTACAAGTTGACGGTTCGTGGCAGCCCTCGTGGAACAAGATGAGGGGCCCATTCTCCCAGGAGCATTAGCCCTCCAGTCTGTGTCAGTTTGGTAACTGTCGCCATTTGCAGACTTTCTCGTCCTTATTCCACCTGGATGGGGACCTGGGATCCGTGGTCTCTGATGTTGTTGTAACTGTTGTGGGCAGCAGGGACAGCACCCATAAAGGATGGGGACTTAATGGATCAATGTGTTGCTCTGGCTGCCCACCCACTGGCCATTCTGTCAGTCCGTCTCCTCTCTCCTGGGGCCTCCCTGTCCCCTGAGACACAAGAGTGTGATGAGGGCAGTTAACCTACAGTGGCCTCTAAGTCAAGCAGTCACTTTTAAAGTTATATCCCAGTCTTCACGAACCATCTGGGAGGCACCGTGCCTTCCTTACAGGTTAGACGTGACAGTCATCACCGCCGTGCAAGGGCAGGGACCGCCCCCCACGACACAGCAGCCCTCAGGCAGCTCCATTAGTCATCCGTGACCTGTTCAGTTTCTAAGTTTCCTGAACCAGCTGTTTAGCTGACCTTGAGTTCCTGGCTCCAAGGGGCACCTCCCTGTCTGTCCTGTAACTTGGAACCGGGGCGGGCGGTGAGGGGAGGGTGTGCCCTGGGGGCAGCAGGCCTGGGTTTGGATTACAGCCCCACCCACTCTGTGAGCGGCCTCTGCGACCTGGCAGGGGTCAGCCCACACTCCAGGTCTCTGAGCCTTTATCAGCACAGTTAGGACGCTGCCTAATAATATCCACTAACATCTAAGAACCACGTTTTCTAAGAGCTTGCCTGATATCATCTCCTCTAACCCTCATAACAGTTCGGCTACCAGGGCGATTAGCTAACTTGCTCAAGTACGCGTCGGTGCCCAAGTGTGACCCTCAGCCGTCGGCCCCAGAATCCCTGCTCCCTGGAGAGGTGGCTGTGACCAAAAGAGATCTCCCCGGAAATCCCGGCTCAACAGAGCTGGGTGGGCCCGGGAACCTGGCTTTGAAGAAGTATACCAGGGGTACCCAATGGTTAGTTACGTTTGGGAAACACTATGTTCGAAAGAATATAAAAATGATAAGTAATGACCACATGCCCTACCCGTTACAGGAGATTCTTACCCTCTGTGGGGCAATATATACATTCAGGTGACTCCACGGCCACTCCCGCTGGCTGCTGGGCCCCGTTGAGGGCTCCCCGCCCTGTGGCCCGCAGCCCTGGGTGCCTTCCCTGACCACCCATGGGATCAGAACTGGACTTCGACCACAGCAGTGTGGATGTTGTCCTGATTCTGCCCCTTCCTGTCTAGGCATGTCACCGAGAGAGACTTCACAGCGCTGAGTCAGTTTTCCCATCTGCAGGATGGGGATCAGAGTTCGCTCACAGCTGGTGGGAGCGGCAAGCTGAAGTGTGCAAGAGGCTTTATGGCCCCGGATCAACTGTGAACTGCAGGCAGAGGGAGGGTCATCCCTACCGAGCCAGGGCCAGGCCAGGAGGCTGCTGTCCCAGTGGCTGAAGTCCAGCCCGTAAATGCCGTGGCCGTGGCCGGGATGAGGGTGGGGGAGGAATGGAATGGAGCTTTGCTGCCTGAGCCAAAACGACGACCAGAAATGTGCAAGGACAATAACTTTTCCTCAAGAGAAACTTCCTTTCAAGCTTTTAGCTCCCTGCCAGGCACCTGTTTCACTGTTGGAAAAAAGAATTTTCCATAATTTCACCGAAAATAAGTTGGCAGGGAATGTGCTTTATCAGGGACTTGGTAACAAGGACCTTTAACCCTGGCTAAAGATTAACAATGACAACGAAGGCATTAACCTGGAAACTGGTTAAAACAACTGCGGTTTGAAAGAGCTCAGAAGGAGTCTGCTGCCCTGGTCTCCGGATGGGGCCAGCCAGGGGGGCACAGGACTGCGCGCCCTCCTGCGCCCGGCACTGGGCTTGCCCTGCGTCCTTAGACTGCTGGGTCCTGCTCCAGCCCTTTAAGGAACGGCAGTTCCGCAGAGAAGCCAAGTCCACAGCCCAGATGGCCAGCCTGGCAGTGCTGTTCGCTCTGACTCGGCTCCACACCCCTGACCCTTGGGGCCCAAGACGACGTGTCTGCCAAGGCAGCCGCGCACTCAGGAGCTGAACAGCAGAGCTAGCGGTTTGGCTTTGAACTGGTCGTCCACACATTCCTTCCTTATGGGCGTGGCCAGGCAGGAGGCCCGGTGATGTGCCGGAAGGCTGAACCTGGGTGAGGAATCACTCCCTCAAAGGGCATTGCACTCGCAGGGCTGTCTGCCACACCCTCTCCTCCCGTCCAGGCCGAGGGCTGTGTGGGAGGTGGGTCCTGTCTCCAATCAGGAGGGCATGGGGGTACCGCCTTCCGCCTGTCTCCCCTGTCCCCGCCCCCACCCCCTCCCTTCTGTTAATGTTAAAACACCCAGGTGACAACACGATCCTGGTCCACATGCCAACCCTCAAGGTCAGTTGGGGTTTGGGTTTCTTAATCAATATCTTAGGCTGGGTGACGTTCTTATTCATTCAAAAAAATTCTATTGCTTTCTACCAAGATGGTGGTGTCAGCCTGTAAAAATGATAAAATACTACCAATCTGTAACAGTTCAGACAAGTTCCCTTGAATATGTTATCCACTTGAAAGAATCAACTCACAGGTTATGTAATCTGTCTGTGAAAAGATTTCACAAATTAATAGTAGTTAACCAGAAACTGAATAACTTTGAACTTCTTATGATTAGGTGTAGATTTGTTACGTATTCTAATTTAATTTTTCACTTTCTAGGCTAACTTGCACAGTTTAAAAAAAATTTCTTTTTCTTGATTTCAGAGAGGAAGGGAGAGGGAGAGATAGAAACATCAATGATGAGAGAGAATCATTGATCAGCTGCCTCCTGCACGCCCCCCACTGGGGATTGAGCCCACAACCTGGGCATGTGCCCTGCCCGGGAATTGAACCTCAACCTCCTGGTTCATAGGTTGATGCTCAACCCCTGGGCCACGCTGGCCGGGCAGTATTTTTCTTTAATGACTCACTGCTGCTGATTTTTTTCACCTTTAACCTCAGGTGAAAGGTTCTACCCATGATTATACTCCAACTAAGTGCATCGAATGCTGCCCGAGTGAGAGGGTGCGGAGGCCACATGCACTCCGTGGCGCCCAAGAGCAGAGCAGTTGCACCCGCTCTGAGGTCTCTCTGCTCAGGTGGTCCTCTCCGCTTCCTGGAAGACATCGAGGATGCGGAAAGGATGCTCCCTGCCTGTGGGCACCTTCCTATTCCCGTCCACCTGGGAGCAGGAAACTCCCAGAATGTGAAGAGCATCCTAAACGTTCTCCCGCTGCTGGATTACCAGCCCCCATGGATGTGCAGGTTCCTCACTGGAACCACAGGCGCCGTCCCTTCCTGAAGCCCCGTGGGCCCCAAAGCCTGCGCCCGCCCAGCCCGAGTGCACCCTTAGAGCGATTACATCTTAGGGCTGGGGGGGAGCTGCCGGCTCCTTCTCTCCAAACACCATCATTTTTGCAAGCCAGACGCCTGCAGGCCTGAGCGGAGAGAGGACCTGCTTGAGGTCCCCGCACTTCTTGGTGGACCTCCACCCACCCTCCCAGGGTCCCCTCTCATCTTATTAATCTTACACCCCAAGTCTGAGTGCAGCACCGTAAAGGCTGCAGAGCCCCCTCCTTTGCCTGCACACCTCCTTTCACCCATTCCGGTGCCTGGGACACGGAAGAAGCTCCGTGAACAGGATGGACACAGGAGGAGGAAATCTAGGGGCACCCAAGTCAAAGTCTGTAGCTGAGGCCGCAGAGAGAAGGCGGGACGTCTGAGAAAATGACCCACAAGATGCCCTGGGTCCAGACGGCAGGGGCCCATGGCGTGAAGTCACTGTAGGGGGATCTCATCCAGATGCCTGACAAATACTCATGGAGGTGCCTGTGGTGCAGGGCACTGCTGGGTCAGAGGATGGAGAGGTGAGCAAGGCAAACCCAGGCCCGGATCACAAGGAGAGAATAAAGCAAGCAAGTGAGCAGTTCATTGCAACGGCTGACAAATGCTTTTCCAGGAAACACACAGGGGCACAGCTAACAAAGGCTGTGGGCTCGAGGGTGGAGATTTCAGACAACTCGGCGGGGGAAGCAACATGTAACTGACACTCAGAGGCTCGCTCTGCTCATGGCCAGCTGCGTGACCTTGGCCAGATCACTCAGCCTCTCTGAGCCCCAGCTTTCTCATCTGATCAGGAAGGCAACCCAGGTACCTACAGAGCTTTAAGAATGGGAAGCGAAGGGACCTCCATCCCCTGCACACGTAGCGATAATGGGGTTATTGCCATCCTGATGGGTCAGAGGCCTGTGCAGAAGGGACAGACCAGAAGAGCACAGACATGCAAGGCCGGCACCAGATTACTGCCCATCTCTTCCCAGCTGGACTGTGAGTTCCAGGGCAGGGGCCCGTGGTCGCCTCTGACCCCGGGGCCCCGCTCTGCGGCCGGTGGTCACCTCTGACCTCAGCACCCCGCTATGCTCCTGGAGAAGCCAAGAACGAGGAGCAAGGGAGCACGAGGGGCGCAGGGGTCGGTGCCACCTGGTTACCTAGCGACCGTGCGCGTGGCCGGTCCCACAGCAGCCATCTTGGATGGCCTCCCCACCGCGAGTTGTCGCTGCCGCAGGGACAGCGTGGCAGGGGGCGTGCGCGCGCTCGGAGGACCCCCTCCCATCTGGGGAGCCCAGGGAACTAGGCTGCTGGAGTGGGGGGCTGTCGGCAGCAGATGGCAGGAGCCCCGGGCGGAAGGCAGATGGCCAGGCAGTCCCGCAGGGTTAGGGGTCTTGTGTCCCTGAGCCGGGGGGGTCCCTGCAGTCGGCGCGCGGGCTGCACCGCTGCATCCCCGCCCGAGCCCGCGCCTCCCGCCGGCTCCCTGCGCTTTTCCCACCCATCGCGGCCGCGCCGCCACCGGAGACTCACCGCTCCCCGCGGGCCGCCGCCAGCGCCACTTGCAGGACCTGTTCGGTGGCGCCTCCCTCACCACCGGAAGCGCTTCTCCCGCCACACCGCCGAGTGCGCACGGCTCCCGCCGCGCAGGACCCCAGTCCAGGCGGGGCCGCGTGCGCCCTGCGCCTGGGAGCCCCGCCCCGCCCCGCCCCCTGAGTCACCGGTGTCGCCCCCGCCTGCCCGGCGCCACGCTGGGTGCCCCGCGTTTTTAGCTTCTGGTTTCTGGTTCCTTTGGGGGCTCGCGTGTCTTCCGTCCCCCATCTCCCAAGTTTCATCCCTCCACGGTGGGGGTGGGGGCTCCGGCTCAGGCTAAATGCCACGTTTCTTATTTTGGTTTCCCAAGGGACCACCCCCCACTTAAATGTCTCCATTCCAGGGTCTTGCGTAGGGTCAGCATCCATATTGTCCCTCACCCACTCATTTACTCATTTAAACCAGCGTTTCCCCAGATGTGGCGTGTGGCATCACTGGTGCTCCAAGGCGATTTTAGGTGGGACCCGTGCCACGACCTGCTTTCTGTCTTAGAAAGACTCCCTCTAGCTGCCGTGTGGAAGCAGGCGGGGGTGGTGGAGGCAGGCAGAGGCCGTAGGGAGGGACCGTGGTGACCAGGGGAGAGACCTTGGTGGCTTGGACCAGGTGGGTAATGGGAGGTGGCAGGAATTACTGGGTTCTGGTCTATTTCGGAGGCAGATGAAATCTAATAAATGGTGAATTACATCATGGTCATGGATAGTCAGATTTCATTTTCAAAGTCGTAAATTTCTCCCAAATTAACCTGTACATGCAGTGCAACTCCAAGCAAAATTCTGACATCTTCTAGTATGTATAACTTGACAAAGTGGCTGGGAAAATGTATATGGAAAAATAAAGAGCCAGCAATAGCCCAAACAATTTTGCAGAAAAAGCGCAGAGTGACTCACCCCATGAATAGAGAGGTGGTGTGTTTGTGCAGGGACCAGCATCTCGCTGGGTGCACCTGAGCCGCCAGGCGCGGACCTGCCTTACAGAAACCTGCTGGCGCGGCATTCCAGACGGGCGAAGGTTACTCCCTCGTTAAATGATACCGGAGCATCTCCACCTTCTGCCATCTGTGGGAATGTGTCCCTGTGTATGCATGCAACCCCAGACTGATTAAAGGCCCAAACATGTAAAACAAATCTCATAAGTTTTTAGCAGACGTTTAAGAGGGTATCTTATGACCCCAAGATAAGGAGGCATTCTTAATTTAAACACAAAAAGTACAATATATAAAGGAAAGATTGAAAAGCCTCATTAAACTAAAAAATTCACACTCATCATGACACCATAATAGAAGTGAAAGAGTTCACAGACAAGGAGGAAATATTTTCAACCCATAGATCTGGCAAAGAATAGATCTCCAGAAATAGAGAAGCATTCACAAAATAGCAAGAAGAAAGAGAAACAACCCAATAGAAAAACATATAAAAACATGAATATATGCAACTCACAGAGAAAGAAGACCCAATGGCCCCGTTACACAAGATATCCAAACTGGCTGATAATCCGGGCACTCAGCATGGTTTCAGATATTTTTTTTGGTGACACTCCGCATCCTCAGAACTCCTGTGACTGTTTAGCCAGTTCCTGTTCCTTATCACACTCTATGCCAAACGTTGGGCTCAAAAAGATTTTTTTTAAAAAGTTCCACCCTCAAAGAGCTTATTGGTGAGGTGATAGACATGTGGACAGGTAGTTACAATCAATGGTTACAATGCAATATGAAAACTGCAACAGCATAATGTGTGCTGTATAGCTAACTGCTATGAGAGAGGAGGGATTGACTAGCTTTGCCTGCAGAAAGGGGATGCAAGAGAGATATAGCAGGCACAGTGTATCAGTCATCACAGTACTCCTACAGCACAACCCTAAGACCTCAGGGGTAGGCACCAATCAACATTCATTTTGCTCCGGAGTCCATGGGTTGGCTGGCGGATTCTGGCCATCTGAGCTGGGCCCTCGGGGTTACTCATGTGCCCATGGTCAGCTGTGGGCTCTCGGTGGCTGTACTGGTCTTGGCAGGACTCTCACATGTCGGGGGCCTCGGCTAAGACAACTGATCTGGCTCTATTCCCCGCCTTATTCCTCCGGTAAACCCTGGGCCTGTCCATGGGGAAAAGGCAGGGGAGAAGGAGGAAGGGAAAGAAGGAGGGAGATCTTCACCTCTGCCTCATCCTGTTGTTCAAACCAAGTCACAAACCAGCCCCGCTTCGGGCAGAGATGGACTCGATCTCTTTGATGGGAGGAGCTGCCGACTGACAGTGTCAATAGGGGTAAATATACAGACAGGTGGAAAATTGGGGACATCATTTTTCAAAAATTCTGTCCTGTGTGTATGTTTGTTTTTATTTGTTTGCTTGCTTTTTCAGCACCTGTTTCCTCTTGGGGAGCTCCCCTCTCTCACTTCGTTTGGTCCTGGTCAGATTGTCAATCATGTGACTGTATCTTCTGGTGGTCAGTGACCCACGGCTGGCCAAACAGAGTCCTGCCCCGAATTTATATGTAGACTCTGGGAAGGAGCAGTCCTCAGCCCCCTTCTCCCCGCCTCCCCAGTCAAGGGCAGCTGAACCAGGAGAATGTGGGCCAGAGGCTGTCAGGCTGCTCTCTCCGCTGGTCTCCAGTCCCTAGAAGTGAAACTAAGCAGAGAGATCCAAGAGGCATATAATTCAGATGACGTCATTTCAGGCCCTGGCCTCAGCCAATCCCGAAGCTAGATTTGCCTCCTGGGCTTCCCGTGATGGGAGCTAATAAATCCAACCACACACACTTAACAAAGTCATAAGCACGTTGGAATTGGATTTATATCCCTGACTGACTGGGGGGGGGGGGGGGTGGTGACAGAAGTGGCGGAATGTTTGCTGAATGCAACTACATTTGAACAAGTGGGAAAGGGAGGCAGACGAAGGAAGAACTCATGAGCCGGGGTTTTTAGAATAAAGAGCAAGTGTTTGCATGTGCTCCTGCCATTGTTTTAAATAAACGACTTTCAGAAATCGCTTCCACGGCAGCTGAAATGGAGTTTTCCAGCTTAGTTAGCAAGGAAGTCGAGTGCTGGGGAATTCTTGCTAGGCTTGCACGGACACAGGTTGCATAACCCTTGTATTCTGAAATGGACTTTGAGCCGTGCAGGGCATGGCAAAAATACAGCGCAAGTCAGCAAAGATGGGGGCATTTCTGAGCATCGTAAAAGTCAGTGAGGTGAAGCAAGAGTTTGCTGAGTACACCACAAGGGGAACAGGAATTCTGTAAGAATCAATGGTTTTCTTCAAAAGTAACATTGCAATGAAAACTTTACATTCTAGGTTATTTTAGCAAAGCTACTTATCAGGTACTCACCCCACGTTTCCCAGCATTCTCCCACCTAGATTTTTAATACATTTTTTTGTGTTGTTTATCCTCATCCGAGGATATTTTTCCATTGATTTTTAGAGAGAGTGGAAGAGAGAGGGAAAGACAGAGAGAAACATGGATGTGAGAGAAACACATTGATTGGTTGCCTCTTGCACGAGACCCCACCAGGGCCCGGGCCAGGGCCTGCAACCAAGGTATATGCCTTTGACAGGAATCTAACCCGGGACCGATGCTCTATCCACTGAGCCAAACCGGCTAGGGCAATACATTTTCTTTCAAGAGCCAGGGGCAAATCCAGAGGCCAGCAAAGCAGAGTGACAAACGGACCCCTGCAGGGGAAGAAACATCAGTTAAGTTCTCCCGGCTGGTTGAAGACGGCGGTGACAGACAGCAGATGGACAGGAGAAGGCCCGGTTTTATTATGTGGGCATGGGGGATTCACACAAGCACGAAACCTCCGAAAACAGGAAGGTCACGGGAGGCCTGGGGTCATTTTGGACTCGGGAGGAGGAAGTCAGGCCGGTCACAAGGGGACAGAGTGCCATGGGCCTTGCGGGTTCCTCCCTGGCCGTCTCTCGGAGTTCATACTAAAATATAGTCTTGCCCGGATTCTGTTAGGCAGTTCCGGGGAGTTTAAAGGTTATGTTTCCCCCCGAGGCTTTTGTTTCTTAGAAGTAACAGGCTTACCATACTCAGCATCCTCCAAAAAGGCGTGTTTTGGGGTGGCGAGCTCTGCTCCCCTCGCAACCACGGGCAGTTCCCGAGGCAGAACAGGGGCGGGGGGGTCATGGTCACACTGAGCAGAGGCGGCGCGTCCAAAGCCTGCCTCTGACCGAGAAGCACAGGCCGGAGGCAGCAGGACTGCGGAAAGGAAAAGGCCGTCTGTTTACCAGGCCAGCCAAGGCCGAGACAGATAACGCTCACTTAGTCTCCCACACAAAGGCGGGTGGGTGGTAAGAGGGGCGGTGAGCGGGGCTTAGGCCTGTGTGTCAGTCCCCGCGCTGGGGTCTGATCGGGGGCTCAGACTGAGCCGGCTGAGGTTTGGAATGTGGGAGGTGGATGGAGAACAGAGAGAGAGGCTGGTGGTTTGTCATCGTCCCGGGTGAGTCTGCATCGGTCCCCGCCGGCTCCTCCTTACCCAGGGGCCCCAGCTTCCCAACGGCTCGGCTGGTGAACGCAGCCCCTCCACCGCCCAGCTCCGTGAGCCTGGCTTCCACTGTGCTTTCGCTGTCAGTTTAGGTCACAGCGCTGCTGCCTGGGCCTGCTCAGCCTCCGGACCAGGCTGATGGGCTGGGGCCGGTGGCCTCCCGAGCGCCGTGAGGAGGCCTGTGTTACCTCCTGAAAGACACTTCTCACGACAAAATCTCTGAGGGTCCGGCTTCAGGGACAGGGCCCCGTCTCCGCGCAGAGCGGACCTGCCCCCTGGCCACCCGTGGGGCTGGGCTGTGGCAGCAGGTGGGACAGGCCTTCGACTCTCGTGCCTCAGAAATGCAGATCCTTAAAGCATGCTTGCTGGGGAGTGGAAACCTGGTGTCCCACACACAGCGCATGTGTGCACCCTGAACCGGCCCTGGGTGTGAAAATAAAGCTGCCCCAGCGCCCGCGGGAGCCGGCTCCGTCTGAAACCGTCCCGGGGGCTAAACAGTGTCCTGCTTCTGAGAACGCCGAGCCCCACGCTGTGGGTTTAAGGAACTGAGCACCACGGGCAGACAGAAGGGAAAAGTCACAC